TTTTTTTTTTTTTTTTTTTTTTTTTTTTTTTTTTTTTTTTAGCAAAGCTACTAAACTAGTAATTAGAGAAGTCTAGGGAGAGTATACTGTTGAGTTTTTTCCTCAAACATTATTAGCCTTAGAGAAGCTAAGATGCTGGATAAGGGCAAATTGGCAAGGTAGGCACAACCGAGTGATGTGCAGAGAGAGGAAGGAGAGGGTTGGGCATGACCTCCCAGAATTCACATTTGGTTGCCAAGTAAGTAGAAAAAGATTAATGAACCCAGAGACAAGAAGGAATAAGTCAGCACACTGTAAAACCAGTGAAGATCGAAAGACAATTTCAGTAACGGGGAAAGTGTTGGAGAGGTGGAATCATTAGAGGGTGTGCCCAGAAAGGGAGATTTCTGAATTAGTCTTGGATATAAAACAGTTTCAATTCAAGAGCGTCCGAATGTCTGTGGATGACAGAGATGTAGGCGAGTAATGAAGAAACTGAGAGTAGAAAGGCAGTTCATCATGTAAGGTGTTAAAGTGTGGCAGAGAAAAATTTCTTAAAGGCTTGGGTGTGCCTGCAAGATGCTGATACTTGTAGCGTTTTGTGCTAGAGTGGCTCAGTCAACTTTGTCCAGAGCCCATAATAATGGTCTCGTATCATGTATTACATAGCAGAGACCATTTGGCAGAGACTACTTTATATGGTTGAAATTAAAATTCCACTGACGTGAAAGTTTTCATCTTTTACAGAACATAAATACTTTTATATGTATGCCTGTTAACTGCTTAAATAGAAATTTAGCTTTGTCCCAGACCTGTGAATTTGGAAGAATTGATACTGAAATTGTCTTTAATTTTTTAAATTTTTATTTCAATAGCTTTGGGGTACAAGTGATTTTTTGTTACGTAGATGAATTATACGGTAGCGGTGAATTCTGAGATTTTAGTGTACCCATCACACTAGTAGTATACGTTGTACCTAATGTGTAGCTTTTTAAAATCTCAAGCCCCAACCTCACCCTTCCCCTTCTGAGTCTCCAAATTCTGTTATATCACTGTGGATGCCTTTGCTTACTCATAGCTTTAGATCCCACTTGTAAGTGAGAACATAGGGATTTTGGTTTTCCACTGTTACTTCACTTAGAATACTGACCTCCAGCTCCATCCAAATTGCTGCAAAAGACATTATTTTCTTCCTTTTCGTGGCTGAATAATATTCCACAGTGTAGCTATAACACATTTTCTTTATCCCCTCATTAGTTAATAGGCACTTAGGTTGCTTCCACATCTGCAATTGTGAATTGTGCTGCTATAAACAAAACGCATGCCAGTGTTTTTTTCATATAATGTGAAATTGTCTCTAATTTTAATTTTTGTCTTCAAAACAAGTTTTTGCCCTGTTTACCTCTATAATTTCCATTTTCAAAAAAAAATGTAAATGGAAGAAATGTGGCTATTTTGGCATAGCCATTAAAAATGGTAGTTATGCCGGGCGCGGTGGCTCAAGCCTGTAATCCCAGCACTTTGGGAGGCCGAGGCGGGTGGATCACGAGGTCAAGAGATCGAGACCATCCTGGTCAACATGGTGAAACCCCGTCTCTACTAAAAATACAAAAAATTAGCTGGGCATGGTGGTGCGTGCCTGTAATCCCAGCTACTCAGGAAGCTGAGGCAGGAGAATTGCCTGAACCCAGGAGGCGGAGGTTGCGGTGAGCCGAGATCGCGCCATTGCACTCCAGCCTGGGTAACAAGAGCGAGACTCCGTCTCAAAAAAAAAAAAAAAAAAAAAAAAATGGTAGTTATTAGGATCAAGCCCTAATGTGTGAAAAGCCTAATAAATGCTAAATGTCTTCATTTTATTTATGACATGTTAGTTTATCTTCTAATTGTAATAATTTTCCTCTTATTTCAAGGTGTTTATAGAAACTAGTCAGAGCTATAACCATTTTCTTGTGACCCAGTTTTTTCTGTGTGTGTAAGCTTATTGCTTTATTTGATGTTTTGTTTTGGAAACACTTGACCCGTCAAGTCTAGAAATAGTTTTTTCATATTGTTAAATCATGTTTCAAGAGTTCACAGTAACAGGCTTTTTATAAATGGAAACAAGTTTGTTGCTGTCAGTAATAACCAGTATTTCTCTGGGAACTTAAATGTGTAGCTAGAAATTTTGGTCAGAGAATTAAAAGTGAGTCATTGGATTTCTGTTGCCTTTTCTTTGATGCTAGGAAATGTCACCATGCACCACTGCTTTTTTATGCTCTGTATAATTAAGAAATAATGTCTGTGTCAGAGCCCCCTTACATTTGACTCCATAGTGATCTCATTTTTTTCTCTGAAACACTGGAGAATAAAATTAGGACACTTTGGATTTTTTTCCTCCCCTTTTCATTTTACTCAATTTCTTCAAGTATTGAAGGTCAGATTATAAAATAATTTATCATTCTGATGCAGAACTATCAGCTGAGTGAGATAAATGCATTCTTTTTAATGTGCATTTTCTTAAATCCATTTCCATCAGAAACTAGAGCTTATATATATATATATTTTTTAAATATATTTCTACACTGAGAAACTACTAATAATTATTATGGCATATCTACTTAAAAAACCGTAGGTTTTAAAGAAACATGCAATACGCTTAAGAAACAGCAAAATGAAACTGGGTGCTGTGACTCATGCCTGTAATCCTAGCACTTTGGGAGGCTGCGGTGGGAGGATCACTTGAGGCCAAGCATTTCACAACCAGCCTAAGTAACAAATCAAGATGCTGTATCTAAAAAAAAAAAAAAGCAAAGCCAAACAAAAATAGCAAAATGAGTTGGATACACTTAAGTAGTAGTTGTTTTTGCAGTTTTCAACCAAATTTATTCATGCTTTTACATTAGCTGAAAAAAAAAAAAGAATATGATTTTTGGTCTGTGTCTATTATATAGTGATGACTTACAACTTTTTAACTTGATGATAATTTTCTAATTTTCCTTTTGTTCAGTGATATTGGGATTGGCCAATCTCAAGATGACAGTATAGTAGGGCTAAGGCAGACAAAGCACATCCCAACTGCATTGCCTGTCAGTGGAACCTTATCATCCAGTAATCCTGATTTATTGCAGTCACATCATCGCATTTTAGACTTCAGTACTACTCCTGGTGAGTACCACCAACACTTCTTTTGTTTTCTTACAGTTATCTTTTTATTTCTAACATAATGCTCATGTTATATATATATCTTTTCATTTGGCATGGATTATATTAGATGCTGAGTAAGGAAGAACCTTAAATTTCAAGATTCTTGAAACCAGGTGTTGGAAGTTCTCTTTATATCCAGCAGACTATTTTTATATGGCCGTAGGCAAATTATCTCTCTGAACTTGTTTCTTCTTTCATAAAATGAAGATAACACATCCCATGCCATAATTACTAAATCATATCAAATAAGTGGAGTAAGAGGCATATTTTAGTTCAACTTAATGGATTTTTCAATATAATAAAGATTAACTCTGGATTTAAATTTTCTGTCTTTGAATCCAGCATGACAGTCTTGTGTGCTACTGTTGTGTACTGATGTGCTTGCAGCTGTCTGTAGATCAACCTTTTATCTTTAGGGAAAGGTGTGTTCTTGCAGCAAAACAGCATTTAGGTTGACTGATTCTTTGAGGAAGATCTAGAGTAAGGTAGAGGTAAAAGTTCAGCATTTCCTTCTCTAGGGAGCTTTTTCCCCATTACTTTGCTTAATTGCATTGCCATATATTAAAATTCTTTCTACTTATGTGTGACTTTTCTTTCTACCAGACTTACCAGATCAAGTGCTAAGAGTTTTTAAGGCTGATCAGCAAAGCCGCTACATCATGATCAGTAAGGACACTACAGCAAAGGAAGTGGTCATTCAGGCTATCAGGGAGTTTGCTGTTACTGCCACCCCAGATCAGTATTCGCTATGTGAGGTCTCCGTCACACCTGAGGGAGTAATCAAACAAAGAAGACTTCCAGATCAGCTTTCCAAACTTGCTGATAGAATACAACTGAGTGGAAGGTATATATTATCTGCCTTACTGGATTTCTTTATCCCCTCTTCAAACCCACATCAAAGTTTAAGAGAGGAGCAATTTCAAAGTGTTTTTTAAATGAGTAAATGCCTCTGCAGATTTAAAAATAGTTGTTGTTTTTTTTCCTTTCACCAAGAATTATTGAATGAAAGTAAATGCACACAGTCAACTACTGACCCTAACAAGGCTCTCTTAGGAACTTGTTCAAGGGCACTGTGACCTGAAGGTTGTTAATGACTGCCAAAATCCATGCTGGAACTTCTCATGCTTGCCTTAGGGTCCTGGTTTGGAAGGGTAGAGTAAGCTTGATGTAAAGTCACAGCGTGGGTTTAAAGTCACAGTATTAAGCCCTTTACTTGGATACGTACATTCACAAACACATTTTCTAATCATATTCTAGTGTCATTTGCTCCTGCATACCCAACTTTTCTAGGAGCTTCCATAGTTTAGGCAGAGACATGTATGACAGTATGGTTGTCCAGTACTGCCTTTTATATGTACATTATGCTATGAAATACACTTCTTAACTCTGAAATCAAACTTCAGTTGCTACAGAGCTTAGTCCTTTGCTGCATAAGTGCTTATATCACACGTTACTTGCAAGAAAATGTTATATCTGATTTTATAATTCTCTTCAATGATACTTTCATTGTTAGGTGAATGTAACTTTATCTTCACGTCACAATAAGTGAAAGTTGAAAAAGAAAATAGTTGTTTTCTACACTGAAAATTAAGCAGTTCCATAAATCATATTCTATTTTTCTTAACTTAGGGTGTTTCACTGTATTTGACTTTTTCATATTACAGGGTTAAACCAGGATATAATTCACTCAAAACTTTTATTTTCTTTCCATCAACTATATCTTTTTTATTCCTCTTCACTTTTACTTTCAAACGCTAGGAAATAGTTTTAATTGCTCTGTTTTTTCCAGTTATCATTTCAATGCACATTGATATATCTGGAACCGTGATGGAGTTCTACAGATCTCCACTGAACTATAGATTCATGATTCACATAAATTATTGAAGAAAATTATAGATGGGTATGTCATGGGCTTCATGAGTAATCAAAATGGAGAATGTTAAATCTGTGAAAATCAAGGGCACAAAGTATATATTTTCTGTCATAGGTGTTTGCCTTGGTGAAATGTACAAAAGCCATTTAGCAGGGCCCCTACTGTGCTCATTCTGTGTTTTCATTTGTGGAATTTCACAGAAAAAATCATGTGTCTAAAAAAACAAACAAACAAAAAAAAACAACAAAAAAAAACAAAAACAAAAAACACCACACACACGCACGCACACACACAAGACAAACATCTTAATGCTGTTTTCAACAAATTGCCTAAAAGGAGAAGGCACCAGAGCCCTATGTGTTCTCATTTTTGCTCTGGCATTAACTAGTCATTAATCTTTAGGTTCTTGTTTCCTATTCTGACAAATAAGTATAATACTTACCATCCACTTACCTGTAGCGTTTTTGAGAAAACCCAGATTTTTTTAAGATACTCGGTTGTAGGATTGTTTTACTCATAGGATCAAATAGAGGAAAGTAGTTTAGGGTTTCTTAGGTATTTGAATAAATAAGTAAGCCTGGATTGTTACCGTTTGGGCCCACCAATAATCAGATTATTGGGAAAATAAGAGTGATTGCCTACCTGCATCTAATCTTTTCTGCTTCCTGCCTTAGGGTCTAAATCCTTTTTAAACTAAAAATGTGGCGATTTTCTGTTATTTTTAGCAAAAAGGGTAAAGTACTTCAGAAAACAGGAAAAGAAAGGAGAAAAAGAAAGTCCAACTGGTAAAAGTGAAATTCCATGTGATTTGTTTGTTTCTTCCGCCTGCTTCTGGATAGACAGTTCTATGGCCTGGTAACTGAGACAGCAGCTGCACTCTCTGTCTTGGTTGAAAAGAATTCTTCCATCATTCAAATTAGTGTTCTCTCAAACTTTCTGCAAAAAGTAGCATTATTCTTTCAAGGAATATCATGAGATTGCTGCTTAGGCTTTGACTCCGGTATGTTTGTTTTTTATAGGTATTATCTGAAAAACAATATGGAAACAGAAACTCTTTGTTCAGATGAAGATGCTCAGGAGTTGTTGAGAGAGAGTCAAATTTCCCTCCTTCAGCTCAGCACTGTGGAAGTTGCCACACAGCTCTCTATGCGAAATTTTGAACTCTTTCGAAACATTGAACCTACTGAATATATAGATGATTTATTTAAACTCAGATCAAAAACCAGCTGTGCCAACCTGAAGAGATTTGAAGAAGTCATTAACCAGGAAACATTTTGGGTAGCATCTGAAATTCTGAGAGAAACAAACCAGCTGAAGAGGATGAAGATCATTAAGCATTTCATCAAGATAGCACTGCACTGTAGGGAATGCAAGAATTTTAACTCAATGTTTGCAATCATTAGGTAAGAGAGCATACTTTTCTTAAGATTCAATTGAGTTCACAGATTTAAAATATATATCAGTCCAGGAACATCATATAATTAGTATAAATGCAGTAGGTTTTAGTTGACTCATAAGGGACAATTCTTTTTCTCTGAATCCTAACCTTAATCCTTAATTTAAAATCTCTCATATTAAAAAAACAGCTGTGCCAAGCTGAAGAGATTTGAAGAAGCCATTAAGCAGGAATCATTTTGATAGCATCTGAAATTCTGATTTGGAGCTCAGAAAATCTATATCCCCCACTTTTTTTTTAAAGTTTGTTTGAACTTTTCTCAACATCAGTTTATTTTTTGATGGAACTAACAATACCCCAAAGAGTTCTCAGCAAGATTAATGATATAATGCATGTGGACCAGCAAATAGCACAAAGCAGATGCCCAGAAAATGTTAAATTTCTTCCCTTTCTAAAGCTTAGATGGAGGCTAGAAGGAAAAAAAATGGCAACAATTAGTTATATTGATGTTGAGGGTGATTATTAAATTAGTAATCTTCTCTGTCTGGTAGTCATAACTCTCATTACTATCATAGCTTTTGTTTTATTACTGGAGGATATTTACCCAGTGTGTTTATCAAATGGCTGGCATGGGCTAAGCACTGCTATGTGTACATACTGCTATGTATGGAAACAGAACATCAGTACTTATATTCTGGTGGCTTTGCTTATAGTAAAAAGATGAGATGTGTCTGTAGGGAAGAGAAGAGTAAAACGCCTTGGCCTGACCCTGACCCTACTTCCCTGTGCCATCTCATTCCCCCGAATTGTCATAAACAGTTTCTTATGCAGCCTTCTGTAAATTGTTATGCATATAAAGCATAAACACAGAGGTATTTTGTGTCAATAAATAATCTGTACACTAGTTTACTCTGTTTCACTTTAGTTGTTATACCATGTTTCTTTTTCACCTCTCAGTGGCCTAAACCTGGCACCAGTGGCAAGACTGCGAACGACCTGGGAGAAACTTCCCAATAAATACGAAAAACTATTTCAAGATCTCCAAGACCTGTTTGATCCTTCCAGAAACATGGCAAAATATCGCAATGTTCTCAATAGTCAAAACCTACAACCTCCCATAATCCCACTATTTCCAGTTATCAAGAAGGATCTCACCTTCCTTCACGAAGGTAAACATAAGGCACAGAGTTTCCATCTTCGCTTGGAGAAGCACAGAATAAATGCCATGTGATTTCCTTTTTCTCCTGTGTCAATTTCAGGAAATGACTCAAAAGTAGATGGGCTGGTCAATTTTGAGAAGCTAAGGATGATTGCGAAAGAAATTCGTCACGTTGGCCGAATGGCTTCAGTGAACATGGACCCTGCCCTCATGTTCAGGACTCGGTGAGTATGTCATCTTCAGTGGCATGTGTGAGAGTAGAGAAGGTTAAATTTAGAGTTTCCCAGTAAATGATTTTTTTTAAAAAAGTTGAGTATTTATATTTGAAGTATGGCAGAAATTATTGTAGCATGTGCTGAGAATCACCTGTGAGCTCTAATTTGGAATAAATGTCTTATTCTGTATAAAGTGTACTTTTGGCTTTCAGTAAAAACAGTTTGTCCTTCAGACATTTTCAGTTTAATAGTCTCAATTATATGTTTCTTGTTTTTCAGAACACCGACTTAGAGAGCTAAAACTCATAACTAGTCATATGAACTAAAATATGTAAATAACCCAAATAGTCTTGTCTCAATATCCACACAACAGATTTAGCTATCAGTGTAGTAAAAAATCATTAATTCAGTGAAAGGAAGAAAAGTCAATCTTAATTCTAGAACAAAAGAATTAAATGTATTTGTCTTTTAAGCCAGAAAAATACTTCTAGTAAAGTTGTATGTGTGAGATAATTATGCAGTTTAATGTTTGTGGGCTTCTAGAACTGCTTATTCAGAAGTCTAGTCCTTTCTTTCTGAGCTTGTGATCTTTCTGTCTCTCTTTCTACACCCATGCTTCAATCTCCATGGCTCTCACTTACAGGAAGAAGAAATGGCGGAGTTTGGGGTAAGTGGTGGAGATCTTGCATACCCACACACAGTTCTTATTCTGCTCATTGCATTGTTTCCTTACCTGTTGTATTTTCTGATGCTTTGCATTTTTGCATTTTTTTCCTTAACCCTCTTGCTCTAGCAGAATTTCAGATGGCAAACTGACTTCATGTTTAATTTGTTGGGCCTTTGCTTTTGAAGTCATGATCCATGAGAGCTGTGAAATGATTGATGATTGTTCTGGGGAACTATAGGCCAGTATTTCTGAGCTCTTAGATTTTATTTTAATATAATTGGTGTGTCTTGAAATGTGGAAAATTCAAAGTAGGGGGAGGGGAGGAAGGACATTAGAAGGAAAAATTGTGCAATTAAAGTATTTCACAAATATGTGAGAAATAAACATATTTAATATAACATAGGTGCCCCCAGGTGTTAAAACCAAATTTTTTACAGCTCAACTAACTACTGTTTTCATTCTATATAAACCAATCCTTATTAAAAATAACTCTTAACAATTCATGTGCTCAGTAGTTTCCATACATATGTGTTTACATTTGCATGATTGTTTTATTAACAGATTGACCATATTACTTTAAAAACTCACCACATTCACCTCAAGGAATTAGAAGGCAATTGTGAACATTGTAGCTAGTTTTATTTAAATCTATGTATAATATCCTCTTTAGGAGAAGTAATTTTAATGTTGTAAATCTTAATGATTATAGCTGTGTATTCTTGCATGAGCTTTTATATGCAATTATTACTTTCTGGCATCTGTGAGAGAACGGCCTTAAATGCCTTGTAGAGGTGAAAAGTAGAATTTCCTAGTTGGAACTGAACAGGTGCCAAACATATATTTTTATATATGTTTTATGTATACATCTCTTTTAACTAAAATAATTTTTTAAATCTGTATTATCCTATATTCCTGTGTAACAGTTTACTCACTGGAATGAGGCATGTGACCTTTTGAACATAGAATATTAATATAATCTTGGCACGTTTTAAATAAAGTACTCCTATACTAGAGTGAGCTGCATATCTACCTTTTCATCTTCCAGGTCTCTCAGCCAGGGTAGTACAAATGCAACAGTGCTAGATGTTGCTCAGACAGGTGGTCATAAAAAGCGGGTACGTCGTAGTTCCTTTCTCAATGCCAAAAAGCTTTATGAAGATGCCCAAATGGCTCGAAAAGTGAAGCAGTACCTTTCCAATTTGGAGCTAGAAATGGATGAGGAGAGTCTCCAGACATTATCTCTGCAGTGTGAGCCAGCAACCAACACATGTGAGTTTTTCCTTAAAGTGGCTGCAGACTTTGGCTAGAATGCAGATTTGTTTCCTGTGCAGTGATATGGGCAGTGACAAAATAAAGCTTAGTGCAAAGGGGTAGGGAGCTAGCAATCCTGAGATATACTGGTCTTTCCCTTGGATGCTAATATTGAATACTGAGTAGCACTGTGCACAGCCAGGCCCTTGTGTCTACTGGGTTAGTGTGTGGAGGATGACAATGTCCACTAACTAAACCATTGCTTTAGTTTCACCCGGACACAGCCAGTACACACATGGGGACACATATGTAGATATGATTCCCATTTATATGTCTTGTGTTCTCAAAAGATGCCCCCAAAGTATGGGCAACATGAGGGAAGTTGGGGCATAAAATTGGATGTGCTGGCTGCCTTTTAACCACTAGCCCAGACAACACCCAGCAACAAATTCAGCTACCAGTTAGATAGAGCGATAATTCTGCTCCAAAGTGAACCATGGTAGCATTTAAAAATCTGAATAGTGTATAAATGGGAGAGTTTTTTTCTAAATCTACATCTTGACTTATAAGACAAAAATATTTTTCATTCAGTACGCTTTGTGTCTTTTATGGGCAGATTTGAAGATGCCTTTTAGAGAATTTAATTTAGATAGGTGATTTTAGAAGATTTGGATTATTAGATTTACACAGGACACTGTAGAAGCATTGTGTCATGGTGAAGAGCTTGTCCTCTGGAGTCAGAGTAGTCTGAGTTCAAATCCTGTTTGTTTCCTCTTACTAGCAACGCAGCCTTAGGCAAGTTACTTGACCTCTCTAATCCTTAGCTTCCAGGTGTGGAAGAGAGGAAGCATACATATGTCATTGAGTTTTGAGTATTAAGATACTACATATACAATATTTAATTGTCCTAAATTGGTTTGCCATCTATCACAAAATATATACTCAGTATAATACTCAAGCATTATTGGCTACTATTTGCTTGCATAGATAATTCTACCTTCTAGGAATGTGGTAGTAAATAGATTGCAGTTGACAGCATTTGTTAAATAAAAACTTAGCACACATATGTCAAACAATTTTGGACACCGTTTTAGAAAAATAGTGCCTGATGATTTTTCCGTTGTAGCTTTTATCACATATTTGTATCTTTCATATACGTGCATATTACATATTGAACTAACCACATTTTTCTTTATTTTTAATGGGGTGTTTAATAGTATAATCATCTCTTGAGATTGCTGATTTCATAAAGTAGATACCTTTGTCCTGCCACGTATCTAATATTTTCTGTAACCAGGGGTCCCCATCCATTTCTGTGCTTCATAAAGGCAAGAGGAAGAAAGGTGTGCATTTCAGTATTCTAGCTGCAGGAAATGCTCACATAGTTCTAAAGTTATCTTCTGTATACCTGCTAGCATCTAAAATTCTTTGTTCTGTTTTCAAACCCAAACAACTATCAGTGCCTAAGAATCCTGGTGACAAAAAGCCTGTCAAATCTGAGACCTCTCCAGTAGCTCCAAGGGCAGGGTTACAACAGAAAGTTCAGTCCCTGCCACAGCCCCAGCAGCAGCCACCACCACCACATAAAATCAACCAGGGGCTGCAGGTTCCCGCTGTGTCCCTTTATCCTTCCCGGAAGAAAGTGCCCGTGAAGGATCTCCCACCTTTTGGTAAGTGATTAAATTCATTTCTTTTTTTGGTGCCATTCACTGTCGTGGTTTGCAAATTAGGAGAAAATAGTTGTCTTGGATAAGTTTGTCTAATATGCTTGAGCCTCTCTGTAATTTTTAGCTCCTAATAAAAAATGAATTCTCAGCAAGTTAAACCTGACTTTGCCAATGGAAGGGGTTGTTTTTATAAGTAATATCTCATTTAATCGTGCTCATTTGCTATGATGGGGTGTTAATAGAGAAGTTATGTGTCTATTTAATTTTTGATGAGTGCAGAGGATGCTTTGTTCATATACATTATTTAAACTGGTTTTGCCTTATGACCAATGAACTGCTTGGATTTAAGCAGAATATTTTTAAGTTAAATGAATTGCCTGCAGGTAAATTCTTATTTGTTGACTCACTGATTCTGTAACTTAGGGGGAAAAATTAAACAACTAACTCCTGAATGTTAAGGAGCTAAATTACACAATCTTTTCTTTTTTTTTTTTTTTTTTTTTTTCTTTGAGACGGAGTTTCACTCTTTTTACCCAGGCTGGAGTGCAATGGCGTGATCTCGGCTCACCGCAACCTCCGCCTCCTGAGTTCAGGCAATTCTCCTGCCTCAGCCTCCTGAGTAGCTGGGATTACAGGCACGTGCCACTGTGCCCAGCTAATTTTTTGTATTTTTAGTAGAGACGAGGTTTCACCATATTGACCAGGATGGTCTCGATCTCTTGACCTCGTGATCCGCCCACCTCGGCCTCCCAAAGTGCTGGGATTACAGGCGTGAGCCACCGCGCCCGGCCTCAATCTTTTCTATTAAAAGAAAAATATCTGGTAGTTTAAGCCCCTTTGTGTAAGTGGTATAATGCAATAATTTTTCATAAAGTGTACAGCTTCTTTTTTTCTACATATATGTGAATGAAACAATTAATAAAAAATAAATTGTTCAAAATAAAGGGATAGCAGTCCGGGTATGGTGGCTCATGCCTGTAATCCCAGCACTTCAGGAGGTTGAGGCAGGTGGATCACTTGACGCCAGGAGTTGGAGACCAGCTTGCCTAACATGGCGAAACCCCGTCTCTACTAAAAAATACAAAAATTAGCTGGGTGTGATGGCTCATACCTGTAGTCTCGGTTACCTGGGAAGCTGAGGCACAGTAATCACTTGAACCTGGTGGGTGGAGATTGTAGTGGGCTGAGATTGCACCATTGCACTCCAGCCTGGGCAACAGAGCAAGACTCTGTGATTGATTGATTGATTGATTGATTGATAGATAGATAGATAGACAGATAGATAGCAAAGAGTTTACTTAAACAAAATTAGATGTTGATAGCTAAGTCCCTGCAGTTACAGCCCATCTGCATGGCTTGGGTGAGAGTCATTTGATAGACCCCTCACATACTCTCTATCCTTGCCTCATTCCATCTGATTAGCAAGTGTCCTCTTTATTGAAATTAGGGGAGAGTAAGAAAAGAACACCTTTCCTCGATACATTTCTCCTTTCAAATGTTTGTGTTGATCCCCTTATTACAAACACACTGAATTATGTTTTTCTGTATAGATTATGTTGTTAATCTGTATGCATTCCTGAATCCCCTGCAGTCTGACTTCTGCATCCTCTTTATGCAGAACTTCTTATATGGAAGATTATCAGTCTTTCTTTTAGCTGAAAATAGCCTATTAGCCATATTTAATATAATGTAGATGTGCCTGAGTATAAAGCTTTATCCCCCATGTTTCTGAAGCGATAGTTCTCAAAATGTCTTCAGTTCCATTTATTAACTTTAGAAATGTGGATGAAATATTATACATTGTCTTATATTTATTTAGTTTAACATACACATTTAAAGTCACAGTATATAAAATACTAATTTAGAGATGCTGCAGGTGTTCTCCCCACTCCAGTTCATGAAACAGTTTTGTTCTATATACTTTGTACATCTTTAATGTTGGTGTCTTTGTCCTCACTAGGACCACTTTTATAAAGTACCTAACACAGCTTTCTCAGGCATAACATCTTCACATCCATCCACATGGTTGAAAGAGCACTTTTTGAATCTGTGTGTAATACTGAGCTTGGAAATTTTTTCCAGATCAAAATGACTCATTCAGTTAGCTTTGTTTCCTGTCTATACGATTTCTACATGTAATCAAAGTACTGCTTTAAACATTTTTTTAAAAGATTGTATTAAGACAACATCAAACTGCTTACATGAGGTGAAATGAAGGATTAAATCTGTTAAATTTTATTGACTAACACTAATTTGAGGTAGTTTCAGGCTGTAGTGCCTTCCCAAATATCTCTTTGTTGTTCAAAATAAAATTGAGAGTGTCTCATAATGTGAGAGGCCTTGTAAAATATTTTAATGTAACTTCCTCATTTCTGAAAAATAATTTCGAGGAAGGAAACCATCTTATATTGGTATATATAATTATTTTTCCTCCACTCTTATCCTGTTGGATCCTACACATGGTGCTGGCTCACTTCCTTCTTCTGAAACCTTCTTCCATGGTTTCTGTGTCACGGCACTTTCATGGTCTCTTCCGTCCTCCATCTATTTACTTGATCAAGTATTCACTACATGGAATCCCTTAGAGCCTTTCATTCAATTTCCTAGTTAGCTCTTCCCAGCTCTTGACCCTGTACTCGTCTCCCTTTATTCTCACTTCCCCAGAGCTATCCCATTCCAAGGAAACAAAACTGCTTCCAACTCAAACTTGGTTTCTAATAATAAACATTTCTAGCTGTGCCACTTCCATCCTAAATTCAGTGTTTCCAAATTGTCTATTTTTCCTCCATTGTTGTCTAACATATTGTTGGATAACGATGGTGACTACTTCAAAGTTGAGAATCTAACATAAAATATCAAAAGCAATCACTTCTCATACTCTGGCAGTTATCAGTCTGAAACCAAAACTATGGTCTCATACCTTCTGTAGGCACTTACTGTGTGGATGATGAAGAGTAGAAAGAACATTTAGATTATAAATAGGTTGAACCTCAATATAATGGAATTAAATCTTAATACAGAAAAGATTTTTTGTCAAAAATGTTGTTTGAGACTTGAAAATACATATTTAAGTTTTGTTTTCTATTATAGGCATAAACTCTCCACAAGCTTTAAAGAAAATTCTTTCTTTGTCTGAAGAAGGAAGTTTGGAACGTCACAAGAAACAAGCTGAAGATACAATATCAAATGCGTCTTCACAGCTTTCTTCTCCTCCTACTTCTCCACAGAGTTCTCCAAGGAAAGGTAGAATTAAATTACTTTTTGTTTTCTTTTATTGAAACCTATACATTTGGCTACAGTAAATTCCAGAGATATGTATTATATAATTCTTAATGTTATAGTCATTTAAGATGAGCTAATATGTAATGCCCAAGGGATTTTTTTTTCCATGAGTTTATAAATTTGGAAGAATGGTGGTTTTTTAAAATGTTATACTTACAATAAACAGTATTAAATTTATAACTGTAAAAATGCTTTTAAAAATACATTTACTTTTTATTTGTGATATGTATAAAATTTTTTTATATTAAAAATTATTCTAACTAAATTTGGTTATATGGCATTAATACAGAGAAGAGGGCTTTGAAAACATGAAAAACTAATATCTTCCTGATTTATTTTTTCATTGTATTAACACAGGTCTTGATTCCATTTTTGGTTGCTACCTTGTTTTATTTTTAAAGAGACTACATTTTAGGTATTCAGAGTCACCTCCTTACGTTGATACATTCTTATATTAAAAGGGTAGGTAATTTTCTGCCGTGTAACTCTTCAGGCTACTTTCTCCTCCTACCCTTTAACTGAATGAGTGTAAGCCAATAGTAAATGGCTAGAACTTAGTTTTTCGTAAAGGAAGGCCGAAAGGGCTTATAATACATTGTTAAATTTCATGGACACAACAGGTATTGCTTTACTTAGTAGATATTTCAGACATCTGTGCATTTTGTATGGGTATCAGTCTCTCCTGTCCTTGTTACATGGATGCATCTCAATTCTTTTCTCATCCTGTTGTTAGGTGGCAGTGGCAATCAGCTGAGATCTTTTGGCTCCGGGCAATTGGACTTAACCAGTTCCTCCTCTTCTCTTGGAAGTGAGAACAGTAACAAGAATAACAATGCACCACGGACCTATGGGATAGGTGGGGTTTATAGAACCAAAAAACGGGGTGGGAAAGAGAGGAATCATCTCATTAGTTAATGAAAATGGGAGAATTCCTCCAAATGTCAAGTGATCATCTGAGTGATTTATTTTTCTGAAGATTTTTTTTTTTTAGCGGACTGTTCAGAGAAGGCTTTAAATCTTATCTGTCAGAACTTTCAGTGTGGTTTTATAAAAATGCATTTTATAAATGAACACATTAAATCTTATCAAGACCTGTGCAGCCTTTAAAAAATAAATCAGGAATTAACAATATACTAAAAGAACATACTTAAACTGGCAACATTTAGATGCTCTAGATTTTAATTTTTCTTAGGTAAGTGGCATTGAAGAAATTTGCATTGCATATAATAATATAAAATCAATATTTAAGTAACATGATATCCCTAGTAACGTAGACAAGAAAAAAAAATGAGTATTGAGAAAGAAGATTTAGACTTTTTTCATTAAAAAATATCAAGATAAGGTCAGGTGCAGTGGCTCATGCCTGTAATCTCAGCAGTTTGGGAGGCCGAGGTGGGCTGATCACCTGAGGCCAGGAGTTTGAGACTAGCCTGGCCAACATAGTGAAACCCTGTCTCTACTAAAGATAAAAAGAAGAAACACCAAAATTAGCCAGGCATGGTAGCACACACCTCTGTAATCCCAGCTACTCAAGAGGCTGAAGCAGGAGAATGGCTTGAAGCCAGGAGGTGGAGGTTGCAGTGAGCTGAGATCCGCCACTGCACTCCAGCCTAGGTGGCAGGGAGAGACCCTATCTCAAAAAAAAAAAAAAAAAAAAATGAAGACAGACCCCTTCAATTGTGACTTTCCAAATTATTTTTCGTAACAAAACAGAGTTAAGAGTACTTTCAGGCCAAGAAGTGGACATCTGATTAGATACTCTACAGTAATCATCTTGTGAAAAGTGCCCGTTAACTCCTTCAAAACGATTGGCTTTTATGTGATTCAACCAATATTAATGTTGAAAAACCAAATGGCAAAAATTGAAAGAATCTTCAGGTCTTATTTCTTATTTTTGTTTATATGTTTACTTAAAATTGTAAGATACAGATATTTCCAGTTGAATTATTCTATCCCATACAAGTTCTAAAAATTAAAAACTGTTGAAAACAAGATCAGTGGCTTTGCAGTTTGAAAAAAAGCATACTTTAAAAAATCTGATCCATTATTCTTTATGGTTTCTTTTCTACAGACGAATAGTGTAATTATAGGTAAGGGAGCTAAGAATAGTCGAGTGGTACCTTTTCTGCATCTGTTCCCAGCTTATAGGATACTTTCTTTTTTCCTCTCTAAACTTTAATTAAACAACTTAAGCTTCATAAGAATAAACACTTATCTCTTAGTCATGTAGTCTCTACAAGTGAAATGGCTTTTTTTCCCCCACTTCTGTAGAGATATTTATGCCTGCATTTTATTTTTGCTTCTATTTGGTAGACTTCCCTTTGATGTTGTAAACCTAGAGAGTCTAATTAATATGGTCGTATTTCTCATGCAGGCTATACTTTGGCTCCCAGTGGTACTGTGGATAATTTTTCAGATTCTGGTCACAGTGAAATTTCTTCACGATCCAGTATTGTCAGCAATTCTTCTTTTGACTCAGTGCCAGTCTCACTGCACGATGAGAGGCGTCAGAGGCATTCTGTCAGCATTGTGGAAACAAACTTAGGGGTGGGCAGAATGGAGAGGCGGACCATGATGGAACCTGATCAATATAGCTTGGGGTAGGTGGCTTTTCTTAGTGTTCTTTTGAATTTATCCTTCCATCTCTTTTTTAGTAATGAGTCTTTTCTTCCAGATGTTTATTTTTATTTATTCTACATAATACCTAAGAATTTTTTCTAGTTCTGATTTTCAGTTTCTACTCTGAGTATCACTAAGTGTCTGTTATGCACACTGCTTTTTTAGTTTATTCTTCATTGGAACACAATTGTTTTGTGCTGAAGCTGGAGGAGGGTGACAATGGGATCCATCCTAGTTCTTTTGTATGAGCTGCCTTCCCAAAATAATCAAATTATATTGAGCCATCCTTAATGCTGTCAGGGATTTTTTTTTTTTTTTTTTAATAGCAAGTTACATTCTTTTCCCCCATGTTTATTTTATTGTAATGACAAAGTGAGAAGGCTAGACGTGGCACAACTGGTCACTATAAGACAATTCAGTGCTACTTTTATCCTGTTTCTGGGATGAAAGCAAGCTGCCTTTCTAGCAAAAACGATATTTTGGTTTTATCATAGGTGATTTAGTTATCAATCTTGATTTTTTTTTTTCTTTTCTATTTCTTTTGACCACTTAGGTCCTATGCACCAATGTCTGAGGGCCGAGGCTTATATGCTACAGCTACAGTAATTTCTTCTCCAAGCACAGAGGAACTTTCCCAGGATCAGGGGGATCGTGCATCACTTGATGCTGCCGACAGTGGCCGTGGGAGCTGGACGTCATGCTCAAGTGGCTCCCATGATAACATACAGACCATCCAGCACCAGAGAAGCTGGGAGACTCTTCCATTCGGGCATACTCACTTTGATTATTCAGGGGATCCTGCAGGTTTATGGGCATCAAGCAGCCATATGGACCAAATTATGTTTTCTGATCATAGCACAAAGTATAACAGGCAAAATCAAAGTAGAGAGAGTCTTGATCAAGCTCAGTCTCGAGCAAGCTGGGCATCTTCCACAGGTTATTGGGGAGAAGACTCAGAAGGTGACACAGGCACAATAAAGCGGAGGGGTGGAAAGGACGTTTCCATTGAAGCCGAAAGCAGTAGCATAACGTCTGTGACCACAGAAGAAACCAAGCCCGTCCCCATGCCTGCCCACATAGCTGTGGCATCAAGTACTGCAAAGGGGCTCATTGGTAAGTTTTAAAATTGGGGTACTTTGCTATGTCTGGATCGCGTCTTTAATGTAACTTATTACAATAGTAAAATAATGTGTTTGTTGGTTCTTTTCTTCAACATTGCTATAGAGGACTTCCAAAGTAATGGTGTGTTAAGGTCTTTGAAATCAGTAGTGTTTAAGAGCCCAGGTTTTGTGGTCAAGTACATATAGATATATTCCTACGTAATAAACTCAATAAATCTTAGCTATCAGTAGATTGTCATTGTGGATATTATCTAGTCTAAGTCTTTTTCTCTTAGCCTGAAAATCAGGATGGATTCCTATTATTCATAGAGGAGAAACTTTAATCAAAATAAAAAAATTAAAAATCTTTCATTCTATTTTGTTGCCATAGTCCTATTTAGAACTATACTCTCTGTATATTTAAAAGTCTTCCATTGATTTTTATTCTGCACGCACATCATTTCTTTTTTTATTATTATACTTTAAGTTCTGGGATACAACATACTTCGTTTCTTGATAAGCAGTTCTTTGTGCACGCTGTAGAAAAGGGAAGGGCACTAATTAAATAATGACTAAGAGCACGGGCTTAGGAGTCGGACTGGGAATTGAATCCCTGTTTTCCCACTTTATTAGTTTTGTGACATTGGGTAAAATACAAAACAGTGCCTGTTTCCTCATCTGTAAAATGAGCTTAATGATTTCTACTTAATAGAGTTAGTGTGAGGAGTCAGGGAAATTTATGCAAAGTATTTAGAGCGGTGCCTAGATAGTAGATTCCTTAAGTACTTGAAAGCTGTTGCTGCTGCTGTTTTTGTTATGAAGAGACTCTCATGCTCCCTCAGTCCTGTTGGATTTATTTGCTAAGGCACAATTAATGTCTATATAGATGAGTGTAGGAACAGATTATAGGTTGTAGCGTGAGAAATTCTGGAGTATAATCATTACAGACATCACTTTTATTAGTAGGAAAATTGTAGTTATTTAGCCATGTGAATAGTCATGAGTAGATTTCAAATTTTATATCCTTTTACAGTGAATAAGGAGAAAACAGTTAATACATTTTCTTAAGTTGGACTTTTTCAAATGCTTACAACTAATACTCGGAATTTTTATTGCAGAGGAAGAATGTTTTTTGTTCTTAACAATTGAATCTGAAAAATTCAAGAAAATAAAACTTAGTTTTACTGCCTATATAATTGGTTTCATATTCTAGATCATGAGCATCAATAAAGGGATTTTAAGAAACATAGACACCTTATAGTAATATTTTTAGAGTTTTTAAATTGGTATCCTTTGTTTATGTGACTTTTCCAAATTTACTTGAATTCATTGTTGTGAAGTCCTGAGACCTGAGAGTGATGTGGAATTGCTTCTCTGCCTGGTAAAGATAAATGCCCAGAAAGAGGGCAGATCCTATCTAGTCTCTAAGGCAGACAGGGAGGAAAAAGAGAACTTGTACCAAACACAAACAGGTTCCAGGCCTAGTGCTAGGTACTTCTTATGTTCTTCCTGTGCTTTAGTCTTTCCAATAAATCCAGCGATTAGGTTTTAATCTTAAGCACTATTTTATAATTATAGACCATTTTAAACGGACAAGCAGCCCATTTAAAGATAAAAGCACTTAGATGGACTAGCAGCTGCTCTCACCAATTACTTCACCACACAGAGATAACCATTGTGAAATGTGGTTTAGTTAACATGCATTCCCTGGCCTGCCTCGCACAGCACCTCTATCCCATACCACATAGTCACATTTGTTACTACACTGTGTATGCTGTTTTAATAATAATTTTTATATTTTTAATAAACTTTTGTGGCATGAACTAGTTTTTAATGCTGGTGCCTTGTTTCTGCTCTAGCACGAAAGGAGGGCAGGTATCGAGAGCCCCCGCCCACCCCTCCGGGCTACATTGGAATTCCCATTACTGACTTTCCAGAAGGGCATTCCCATCCAGCCAGGAAACCTCCGGACTACAATGTGGCCCTTCAGAGATCGAGGATGGTCGCACGATCCTCCGACACAGCTGGGCCTTCATCTGTACAGCAGCCACATGGGCATCCCACCAGCAGCAGGCCTGTGAACAAACCTCAGTGGCATAAACCTAACGAGTCCGACCCGCGCCTCGCCCCCTATCAGTCTCAAGGGTTTTCCACCGAGGAGGATGGTATATACACATATGTATTCTTAAAACCTCCAAGCTAGATGTGTTCACTTATGCTGCCTCCCAACGCATTTTTGTTTCTTAACACTGGTCAGCTGTGTCTCTAACCATACACTACACAAAGAACACTTTGTTCAGAGTTCCAAATTTAGGGTTACGGCTGTTGACTGCTGTGTGTGTGTGTGTGTGTGTCCCTAAATGACTTTTTGTGTGTCTGTGTTTCCCTAAGTGACTTTTTGTGTGTCTGTGTGTGTGTGTTTCCCTAAATGACTTTGTGTGTGTGTGTGTTTCCCTAAATGACTTTTAAAAATGCCAAAAATTATGGAGAGAGTCAAAGTATGTATATGATTTCTTTTCTAATTCTCACTGAAATTGAAGTACTTCTGTGGTCCTATTTTAAGAGGAAAAAAAAGGCCAGATGCGATGGCTCATGCCTGTAATTCTAGCACTTTGGGAACCCAAGATGGGCGAATCACTTGAGCTCAGGAGTTTGAGACCAGCATGGTCAACATGGTGAAACCCTGTCTCTACTAAAAATACAAAAATTAGCTGGGTGTAGTTGCAGGCACCTGTAATCCCAGCTACTCAGGAGGCTGAGCCAGGAGAATTGCTTGAGCCCAGGAGGCAGAGGATGTCTTGAGCCAAGATCATGCCACTGCACTCCAGCCTGGGTGACAGAGTTAGAATGCATCTCAAAAAAAGAAAAAGAACATAAAAATCTCACAAGTTTGTTCTGTTTCCAAGAATTTTAGAAGCATCTAGGACTCTCAAAGGTAGATGGTTAAAGTTTTCTGTGGAAACATTGTGTTTGCACTTTTAATGAATTGGTACTCATTTGGAAATGAAAGTCTGATTTAAAAAAAAAGTCCATTCTCAACCAGCCTGGTGACTCATGCCTGTATCCCCAGCACTTTGGGAGGCTGAGGTTGGAGAATTGCTGGAGGCCAGGAGTTCAAGACACATAGTGAGACCTGTCTCCATAAAAATATTTTTCAAATGACGCAGTTGTGGTGGCATGTGCCTGTAGCCCTAGCTACTATGGAGGCTGAAGTGGGAGGACTACTTGAGCCCAGGAGTTCAGGCTACAGTGAGCAATGATTGTACCACTACACCGTAGCCTAGGTGGCAGAGCAAGACCCTGTCTCTAAAAGAGAGAGAGAGAGAGAAAGGGCGGGAGGGAAGGAAGGAACCCACATTCTCTGCAGCTCTTTGTGCATTCTTTCTACAGATCTGTCTGACCATGCTGAATTGACAATGAGGAGGGAGATCATGTCCTCCCATCCTCTTTTTAAAGTTGTCACTTTAAAATATGTGATTACACAATCATAGAAAAAAGCAAAACATGACCAGAGAGTGAGACCGTCTCAAAAAAATTAAATAGAAAAACTTTACAAATGAAAATTACTTAGAATCCTGCCACTCACAGATAGCCACTATTAAAATTTTGTTACAGATCCTAGACTTTTTATATATATCTGACCGTATATTATTTTTTAAACACATGCTGTTTTATAACTTTTTAAAATGAATTTATTAACCTTCTGAATAAAAATATATAATGCATATCTTTTTAATATTGTGTATTTATGTATATGTAAAGATATGTATTGCATGTACATTTTAACCTTGTTGTTGTTGTTCATCATTAGGAAAAAAGACAAGGATTTTAAGTGAGCTATGCTAAACAATAACTATGATATTTTTATTTAGCATATCAGTAAATATATTTTCTCTAGCACAAGAAATTACTTGCTTGCTCATTGCTTTCTTTTTCTTCCCTACTGTATTTGCAGAAGATGAACAGGTTTCTGCTGTTTGAGGCACAGGCTTTTCTGGATCCAGAGCGAGCCACCTGAAAGGAGAGCACAAGAAGACGTCCCGAGCATTGGAGCCTTGGAACTCACATTCTGAGGATGGTGGACCAGTTTGCCTCCTTCCCTGCCTTAAAGCAGCATGGGGCTTCTTCTCCCCTTCTTCCTTTCCCTTTTGCATGTGAAATACTGTGAAGAAATTGCCCTGGCACTTTTCAGACTTTGTTGCTTGAAATGCACAGTGCAGCAATCTTCGAGCTCCCACTGTTGCTGCCTGCCACATCACACAGTATCATTCCAAATTCCAAGATCATCACATCAAGATAATTCCCTCTGGCTGCACTTCTCAATGCCTGGAAGGATTTTTTTAAATCTTCCTTTTAGATTTCAATCCAGTCCTAGCACTTGATCTCATTGGGATAATGAGAAAAGCTAGCCATTGAACTCCTTGGGGCCTTTAACCCACCAAGGAAGACAAAGAAAAACAATGAAATCCTTTGAGTACAGTGCTTGTCCACTTGTTTACAATGTCCTCCTTTTTAAAAAAAAAAAAAAATTAGTTTAAAGATTGTGTTCAGAGAGTAAATGTTATATCCATTTAATGATTACAGTATTATTTTAAACTTTAAGTAGGGTTGCCAGCCTGGTTTCTGAAAAACCAAATATGCCGGACAGGGTGTGGCCACACCAAGATGACGGGAAGACCTGGCTTGTGACCTTGGCTTCCCATGTCCTTCTGGTCTCACCCGCGAAGTGCCCTATCCTGGAAGTATGAAATGTTAGCCAATTAATACCAAGACACCTCATCTGCTCCTTCCCTAGTGGATGGGGTTCTTCTGTAAAACTGTTTGCACATGGCCAGGGGAGGGAAATGGGACCCTTGTGTCCTGTCTGAGCCTTATGGAGGCAGGACAGTGTCATTGGAGGATGTGTCCTGCTCCATTGAGATGGATGGCAAACCCCATTTTTAAGTTATATTTCTTTGATTTTTGTTTAAATTTAGAGGTTTAGGTTTTGTTTTTTATTTTTGTTTTTAAGAGAAACATTTATAACTGGATAGCGTTGCAGTGAAAGCAGCTTGGGATGTTGGGGCTAATGCCAGCTGTTTATACTGCTCTTTCAAGACAGCCTCCCTTTATTGAATTGGCATTAGGGAATAAACAAGCCTTTAAACGTGATAAAAGATCAAAAACCTGGTTAGATATGCCAGCCTTTGCAGGGCAGGTTAGTCACCAAAGACTAACCTCCAAGTGGCTTTAAGGACACTGCATATAGAGAAGGCCTAAGTGTAGCAACCATCTGCTCACAGCTGCTATTAACCCTATAATGACTGAAATGACCCCTCCACTCTATTTTTGTGTTGTTTTTGCACAGACTCCGGAAAAGTGAAGGCTGCCAATCTGAGTAGTACTCAAATGTGAGGAACTGCTGGTCTTGGATTTTTTTTCCATTAAATTCAGCTGATCATATTGATCAGTAGATAAACGTAAATAGCTTCAAATTTTAAAAGTGGAATTGCAGTGTTTTTTCACTGTATCAAACAATGTCAGTGCTTTATTTAATAATTCTCTTCTGTATCATGGCATTTGTCTACTTGCTTATATATTACATTGTCAATTATGCATTTGTAATTTTACATGTAATATGCATTATTTGCCAGTTTTATTATATAGGCTATGGACCTCATGTGCATATAGAAAGACAAATCTAGCTCTACCACAAGTTGCACAAATGTTATCTAAGCATTAAGTAATTGTAGAACATAGGACTGCTAATCTCAGTTCTCTCTGTGATGTCAAGTGCAGAATGTACAATTAACTGGTGATTTCCTCATACTTTTGATACTACTTGTACCTGTATGTCTTTTAGAAAGACATTGGTGGAGTCTGTATCCCTTTTGTATTTTTAATACAATAATTGTACATATTGGTTATATTTTTGTTGAAGATGGTAGAAATGTACTATGTTTATGCTTCTACATCCAGTTTGTACAAGCTGGAAAATAAATAAATATAACGTAAAGCCTTGCCTATATTCTTAATGAATCATGCATGCTTTCTATTATTAAATTGGAGTAGAAGCCTTTAGTCTCCTGCAGAAGCAAGTCCTCCGGCTGGACAGATTTAGCCTCTTGGTTGTTGGAAACTGCCCGATAGCCTATTTATTTTAGGCAGATCTCTATTGATCCAAAGCAATTAGTATCATTAATGTTAGCACCAACCAAACCATGTTCAGAATTCAGTGTTACTTGAAAATGAAGATGCTGTCACAATATATTTGCATAACATTTGTTTCTTCTCAACCGTTTCCAACAGTAATCTTTATGGGACGTATGATGTTTGTTTCCAGTATACATACTGAGAGACAGGACCTCAGAGAACTTAAACTGCCATTCAACGTCATGATCATTAAGAGTACAATTTAGCTAGTGATTCTGGACTTCTAATTAGTACACGATACTGATATGCATACTGATGTGTGGTAAGTCTGAATAATACTTCAGTCTATCAGAAGGGCACTTACATTTTAGAAGGTAAAACCTGTTAAGTAGCAGCCTTCTTAAGCACATTTTTAAATGAGTGACTCATTTCTTTTCCTCAAGCAGGCATAACTAAAAGCATTATCCATCAGCCGCCGCGAAGTCTCAGAAGTTGGAGTGAAAGCAACCGGAAGCAGCGGCACCAAATGCTGGGAAATTCGAGGGAGTCTGAAGCGGAGTGGGAGGAAGGTCCCTCCAGAAGCCAACAGGAAAATGGCCACGGGCCAGACTTCAAAATCTTGCCGAGGCATTCGTGCCAGCTGTTTCCCTGAGTAAATTTTGAAAGCCTGGACACCAAAACAGGATAATTTTTAAATTTTTAAAAAATTATTCCAGTAGCTTCAACCATACCTTTTAAAAAAGGAAGAACCTGCCTGTTTGTGTGTGTTGTTACATGGTCACCTGTTGTCTTTTCACTTTAAAACCCATTCCTCAGGGACTTTCCTAGACTGTCAGCTTAATTTTCTCAAATTTCTTTTGAAAAAGTACTAAGAATCTGATGTATTGGACAATAACTTCTTTATCATCTTTTGTGTTCTGCTAAAAATATGAGACAGTGACAAATAGGCCATAGTGTGTTATCCTTTTAGGTTTTAGACCATAGTTTGTTATCCTTTTAGGTTTTATTAGACTTATGTTTTAGGATACCTCTGTGTAGCATAAGAGTGGTATCCACTTAAGGGTTACAAGAAATAAGTATTTGCCAGGTGTAACAGACTGCAGGAACAGAGTTTAATCTGTGTTATGTTAATAATGGAACTTTGTCAAGTTTTAGGAATATTGTAGAAGATTTTGGTGAAGGTCTGATGTGCTCCACCCTAATCAAAGAGGCCATACAGACCTGGGTCTGTGTTTTCAGACATACAGGTACAAGTCCTCAGAATGCTTTTCTCAGCTTCAATCCATTTCTCTGCTTTTGGGAGGCATAGATTTTATGCTCATCTATGATTTAATATATTTTACCTCTAGTTCACTGATAATATCCCAAAATATTCTTGAATAATGCAAGCTTCTGAGGATGCATGTATCGACACACCCGTTAGGTCTGCACCTCTCAATGCCAATGCGCTACATTCATACCAAAGAAAAACGGGAAGCTCTCTGTGTGCTTGATCCCGTGATAACCAGCGTTAACTTTTTTAAGAAAAAATAGCTTGCTTAGAGAATAAAGGTAATGCAGCAACTGAGGAGTCAAGTTGTTGACTGCAGAAGTAAACAATTTTGTGAAGTTTCACTGGGTGTAATATCAGCAGAGGTTGTTGAAAGGGGCAATAAGATGGAAATGTGTAGGGCAAACAGCTGAGGCCAACATGGCAGTTCCAAGAAGGATTTTACAGTGAATGAGAATTTACCTATTTGAGAGTCAGACAAAAACATCGACTGGAACTGAAAAATAATTTATGAATTGCACTTTTTTTTTTTTTTGAGTCAGAGTCTCACTCTGTGGCCCAGGCTGGAGTGCAGTGGTGCAATCTCGGCTCCACCTCCTGGGTTGAAGCGACTCTCCTGCCTCAGTCTCCCGATTAGCTGTGATTACAGGCATGCGCCACCACACCCAGCTAATTGTTGTGTTTTTAGTAGAGATGGGGTTTCACCACGTTGGTTAGGCTAGTCTTGAATTCCTGACCTCAAGTGATCCACACACCTTGGCCTCCCAAAGTGCTGGGATTACAGGTGTGAGCCACTGCCTGACCTTAATTGCATTTCTTAAAAGATTCACATTTTAGCCAAGTACAAGGCAAGCTAGTTTTTACTATGCCATAGCTATATACCAGAAAAATTTATAGAGGTGATCAAAACATTGCATACAAGGTTAAATGCCAGAAAAGGCTTTATTTCATGGGCAATCAAGATTGTAACAATTCTTAAGGGAAAAATGTCTAAGCCTAGAATAAAATATCTGAAATAAATTGAGTCAAATGACCAGTTTTATGAAGAATGAAAGTGAAATAAATTTAATCCCGAGTGTTCAACACCTCAAAAATAAAAGCTAGTTTAATACAATTTAAGAAACTTGGTTAGGTACAGTGGCTCATACCAGTAACCTCAGCATTATGGGAGGCTGAGGCAAGAGGATTGCTTGATGCCAGGAATTCAAGAACCAGCCTGGGCAACAAAGCAAGACCCTATCTCTATTAAAAAAAAAAAAAAAATAAAAATTTAGCCAGGTGTAGGGGTGCGCACCTGTAGTCCTAGGTCCCCCTTTGTGCAAAGGTCGGCAGTATATGAGTGCATGTGGCATTCGA